AAAAAAAAAAAAAAAAGAAGATGGCTCCAGGGGTACCTGTGTGGGAAATGAAGAAAGAAACCCACCCTGGGGACCGGAAGGACACAAATGAGTATCTCGGCCTCAGCCTCAGCCCAACCACGCAGAACCCAATGCCTACAATGCTCTCCCCCCAAGACACTTCTTTTGGTCTTCAGTTCTTACTCTGCTATCCTTCCCCAACCCTGGCTCTTTGCTGGGAGCTAGACACCTGTGTAGCACCAACAGAAAACAGGTCCCAGAATTCTAGAACCTTCGGGCTGGAAAGGTCCCTGAGAAGTAATTTAATGTAAATCCGTGTCTTGGCAAAAGCTTGCTCCTCGCTGCGATTGTGACAGGCAGGAACCACACACCGTCACAGCAGTAGCACAGGAGACAGCGCTGGCCAGGAACGTTAGCAGACCTGGTATCTAGGCCTGGATCTGCCAACAAATCGCTAGGGGACCTTGAGCCTGTCACTTTGCTCAAGGTTGGGCTGGATGATTTGGTCTCTTGTTGCTCAAAAATTCCAAACATCTAAGTCTCTTGTGGACACAGGTTGTTCATTAACCTTCTGCCAAAGGTACTCCTCTCATCCCAACCCTGGAGCCTTTGGAGACTGAGCCCATTTCAGCCCTTCCCTCATCATCCCTGTCCTGCCACTGTTAGGCACACAGCTCACAAGGTACCCCTTCCCCACCGTCATCCCTCCAAGCCTGTCTGGGGCTACCTGCAACCTCCCTGTCCAGGTCAAACCTACAGTGCAGCCGCTCCTATGCTCCTCAGAGCTCACGTCTCCAGAGACCTGGGCTCTGTCACCTTCCTGTGGACCTTGCACTTTTCACCATCTCCCACCCTCAGGTTCAAAGTCTCCAGCAGCAATGACATCAGGATCTTCCCACTCTTCACTCTGGGCTGCAGTTTCTACCCGCCTCCCCTTGGTCTCTTACCCTCTCCAGTGAACCTTAGAGTTTTCTGACCTCCTTCTCTGTCTTTCTCCCCTCATCCTACTCCAGGAGGCCTTTCCTAATTTTAAGTGGAGGAAAGGTATATATAAAAATTAGGGTATGTGCCCATATCATCTTGACCCTACTACTAACCCGATCAAAGCAAAGTACAATCGACTGACTCAACTCGGCTGCCTTATCACTTTAAGACAGAAAGCGTTTTAAGGGCAAGGACCCTTCAACTCAAATATGCATCTTGCAGTTCATCAACAGGGGAAACAGTTTCCATATTCACACAATGGAATACTACTCAGCAATAAAAAGAGAA